CTGACTAGTGTGATACCCATAGTAGGTCCTGATGAAACCTGGTCTTTCCCTTCAGAGGGAGGAGGGATGAGTGCTGCTCTGCCTGGCCTGGGATAAAGAGCCTTCTCCCATTGGGTTTGCCTTTTTTCAACTTCTTGGTGCTTTTGGTCCTTGGAAATGTGTCAGTATAGGTAGTCTAACCCCACTCCCCGTTTTGCAGCAGCTTCTGTGTGATACCCATAGTAGGTCCTGATGAAACCTGGTCTTTCCCTTCAGAGGGAGGAGGGATGAGTGCTGCTCTGCCTGGCCTGGGATAAAGAGCCTTCTCCCATTGGGTTTGCCTTTTTTCAACTTCTTGGTGCTTTTGGTCCTTGGAAATGTGTCAGTATAGGTAGTCTAACCCCACTCCCCGTTTTGCAGCAGCTTCTGAGCCTCCCTACCCCAGTCCTGCCTGTAAAGCTCTGTTCCTTCATCCCTTGCAAGCCTGATTTCACCACCTCCCACTTAAAGACATACTGTGGTCATTTTGCCATGGGTTCTCAAGCTTCTTTGCACCATGATTCCTTCCTTTCAAACAAAATTAGAATACAATTCCAGGAAGGTGGACTGAAGCCTGAGCTGGCACAAACCCTACCTCAAGTAAGAGGGCCAAAACCCAAGCCCCACTGTGGTGGGCATGCGGGCAAAGCTGAAGGTTTTTGACTTTGGCCCCAGCCCTAAATCCCAGCAAATCTTAACACCAGCCTTGGTAAAATTGGATCATTACAACCAATTTTGAAGTCCTGATCCACTGTTCTAAGATTTCAGGATGTGGAGATGTCTGTCTCCTGGTGGTGCCAAAACAGAACAACCAAAGATGAATTTTAAATGTTTTTATAAAACTTGGGATTGAATAAAGTTGGGCTTTGAATCATAATCTTATCAGTTAGCGAGGGATATTTATCTGCAGCAACAGATGCATAAAAATCAGCTTCTGAAAAATAGTAGCTTCTTTGTTTAACTGATTTCCCAACAAATTAATGGTGTATTTTGTTAAGACTGAGATTTTTTTTCCTCCCAACATTTAAGGCCGTTCAGATGTTGAGACTCGACTACCCTACTTGGGTGTTGAGAAATATATCAATTCATACATCAGGGGTTTCTAAAATTATATTGTTTGCAATAACAGAAGTTAATAATTGTAAAATACAAATTTTAATACCCATAGAATTGTAATTTTTCCATTAAATCCCCCTCTGTTAAACTTATTTTTTGATAGGTACAAGAAAATTCACCAGGACATAGAGCTGGACTGGAGCCATTCTTTGATTTTATTGTTTCCATTAATGGTTCAAGATTGGTAAGTTCATTGCATATTGTACAAGTCCAGTTGCATGTAAGCTATAGATTTCTGTGCTGACAATCTATTTTTACTAAACTTTGTGTTCATATTTTACTTGAATTGTTTTATTTAAATTGATAAATCTAAATACTTCAAAAATTAGTCTCAGTAGCATGACTTTCAGCAAACTTAAACTGGAGAACAGCATTTGTCATGATCAAAACAAAGGTGGATTGACTTAAATCACCACGTAGAAAGCCTCCATCTAAATCATCCATTTATATTTGTTTTCCAAAAAAAAAGGTGCTTTCTTGTTGTTTGACATAAACATTGTTGATTTATAACTAAATATAGCCTTTGCACTAGTTTTGGTACATCCCAGGAGAGTAGACAACGATCAACATATATTTATTTAAACAACAATACAGCTTATTTTCCCAATCCTGTAACATATTTTTTTTTGTTTGTTTTTGGAAAAGATTGATTTTTATCCACACTGATCAAAGCTGCTGGACTCTGGTATCTTGACATGCAAATGTTATAGTACTGGAATGAAGAAGAATGCGGTGATCCAATCTATCTTTTTCCACCGCCTTACCCCCCAAGAATAGGGTCTCTTGCCACTCTAATAGAGCCTGAGTCATCTACAGAGAGGAAAGGAGGTGAAACATACAGTACAGTCCCTTTGGCACTGGATTTTGGCAGGCTAGAAGAGGAAGGCCTGGCCATATCTCAACTAAATGCCTCAAACATGGAGTTTCTGCTGCCAGAGCAGAGTTTAATTAGGAGGAAAATAGGAATACTTGGTCTGCCTGAACTCACTTTTCCAGATCTGTAATATGATCCTGGCACCTCTCATGGGACATGCTGTGCAAGTGGAACTTTCCACAGAAGAGCTCTTGTGTATTCTGCAGTCATTAAAGTGAATCCTATGCACTTTTATGATGCTGGTGGCCTGGTGCCATAACTAAAGAAGAACTCTGTAGGTGTGTCTCTCTGACTTTGTGATAGCAGGTGACTGAAGATCAGAACTTCTAAAAGGAGAGAGGTAGCCCTACTACAGCTGCCCTATCTTTCGTTGTTTATAATGTAAGATAGTGTAACTGTAGCTACGCAAGCTTTTTAGCAGAGAAGATTTCCAAATCTATGGGGGAAATAACAAGGAGCTTCTATGTTCAAAGTGCAGTTCTGGTTGCATTTTACATAGGTCCAGTGGAAGCAAAGAAAATAGGCAACTGAAGTCAAAGTAAACTGGAAATATTCTAAAATTCTTCTGAACCACAAGGCTTGATTTTGGAATGGACATTATATGGTAGCATTGTGTTGTAAATAGTTACTTTGCACATTTGGATTATTGTTTACATCAAGAAGGGCTAGATTTTGGCTATGGAATTGACATTTGCAGTACCCTGTTAATTGTGGAAGAGTGTTTTTCCACAAAACTTTAAGAACAATTTATGTTAAGCCATGTCATTTTGGACTCCAGTGCTTTCGTTTTTCAACTAAGTGCTAAAATTTGGAGCTAGATTTGGGCTCAGTAGTATCCTATATGTCTTTTGAATAAACAAATTAATGTAAAATTAGTGCAGTTGTTTCAGATCTTATAGCAGTGATACTTAATCACAGTGCTTCTGGAGCCTAATTAGCGATCATCATTATCCAAAAGAGCCACAGTAGTGTGAATGTATTGTTTCATTTTGAGATATATCGTAACAGAATGATAGGAAATGTTTTTTATTTACATATGTTTGGGTCAGTCAGTCATTTGTTGTGAGAAAAATATATATTACTATCCTATAGGAACATTATCTAGAAAATGCCTATTTTAAAAGCTTGTATACTTTCACAAGTCTAGAAAAAGTTATCAGTCTATGCTTCTGGAACAAACCGTAAATTTGTCTATCGTGTTGAATGTCCCTATTACTCTTTTTGTTTTGCTTGTTCAGTACATTAACCATACAGTTAAAGACTTTCATATAAGAAATGGTTGGAAGCATAATAATTGCTTGACATGTTAATTTTATGTACAGATTGAACCTCTGTGGTCCGGGACACTCTGGTCCAGCAGCACCCATGGTCCAGCAGGACCACAGGTGTTGCAGGACCAGAGAGCCCAAGCTGTAGAAGTTGCCTGCGGCTGGCAGCCTGCAGGGCCAGTGGCCTGGGGGCAAGGGAGCCCAGCGAGCAAGCTGGCATCTGGGGGAAGGGGGACAGGTAGCCCTGCCTTTCAGGGTTTGGAGCCCCACCAGCTGGGGGGCAGGGAGTCCTGCCAGCCAGAGATGCGGAGCTCAGCTGTGGCCAGACTGAGGCCAGCAGGAGAGAACGCCTGGAGGGAAACCTGGCTGTAGGGGCAGGGAGTCCCACCAACCAGACAGGGGTCAGTGGCCATAAAGGAGTGAGCCCCACCAATGGGCTGGAGGCAGCAGAGACCAGCAGGCATGCTAGGGATAGCCCAGTGGCTGGGGCTGCAGCCAGGAAGGGAGCACCTGGAAAGCTCATTGGCCTGACCTCTGCTGGTCCTGCAAATTACCTAGTTCAGGACCACTTGTGTTCTGAGAGTGCCAGACCAGGAAGGTCCAACCTGTGTTGCATAAGACAAATCATAGCTTACTAATGCCAGATTTTTATCACATTAAAGCACAAAGAATTAATTTCCTTAACGTTGAATTGGTTATGTTTGTGTGATTTGTGTGTTTAAAAATCAAGGCAAAACTTTAGGTATATTTATTACTGTGAGTATAGAAGTTAAGAACATTACTTGATAGAAAACTCAGAAGAATTGAACATTTTAAATAAAAAAGCCACTGTACAGAAATCTAATAAATACTTCCTAATCTCTGTGTTCTCTGTGTGGCACTTTGAAATGCAAATTTGGTGCTATAAATTTGAACAGTTCTTTTGTTACAAATCATGTTGTTTTACAGAATTTATGTGTACTTCCAGAATAAAGACAATGACACACTGAAGGATCTGTTGAAAGCAAGTGTTGAAAAGCCTGTAAAAATGCTAGTGTACAGTAGCAAAACGCTGGAACTGAGAGAAACATCAGTAACTCCCAGTAATATGTGGGGTGGACAGGGTCTGTTGGGAGTAAGTATTCGTTTCTGCAGCTTTGATGGAGCCAATGAAAATGTATGGCATGTGTTGGTACGTATAATCTTTTAAACATTTCTCTACTGCAAAAAGTCATTGCTTCCAACTTAATTAATCATGTTGCCCTTCTTAATTTTTAGCTGAAAATAATTTAAAAACATGTAGCAGTGGGGTGGGAAGGCTCATTATTGAGTGCAAAGTAAAGTATCTCCAAAATTATCAAAAAGTAGACTAGAAACAAGAAATGGTAGCCTCACTATTTTTAGTCATAGGGATTCTTCTACATACCTTATTAGTCACGTAGTTACTAGTAAGCAAACTCTCAGTTAGAAACATAGGACTGGAAGGGACTTTGAGATGTCATCCCATAAATCTTGCTGTCCTTAGGCAGGACCAGGTAACTTAGAGCATTCCTGGCAGACGGGCCTGTTCTTAAAAACCTTCAATGACAGGGACTCCCATGTCATGGTAACTTATTCCAATATTTAACTATTCTTACAGTTAGAAAGATTTTCTAATAATCACCTAAATCTCCCTTACTGCAGGTTGAGCCAGTTACTTCTTGCTTGTCCGTCCTTCAGTGATTCTGAAGAACAATTAATAACCATCTTCTTTATAACAGCCCTAAATATATTTGAAGATGGTTATGTCTCTTCTCCCCTTCCCCCATATCACCCTTTCTCAAGACTAAAAATGCTCAGCATTTTTAACCTTTCTTCATAGCTCAGGTTTTCTAATCTTTTTATCATTTTGTAGCTCTCATTCAATTTGTTCATATCCTTTTAAAGTACTCCCTCTGGGTCCTCATGAATACTGTGTAGATCAGGACAGTTATTTTCCTGTATCTTCTATGCAGCATTCCTGTTAATTCATCCTAGAGAATTAGCTTTCTTCAAAACTGCATCACATTGTTCGCTCGTATTACATTTGTGATCTGCTATATCATTATTTTATTTAAAAAGGAAAAGAAATATGAATGTTAAACAATTACTTTGGTTGTGTCTTCTGATGTCTTTTTGTGGAATGCTTTACACACAGATTGTGTCTTTGAGCAAAAACAACTTTTAGAGTGTTTTTTTTTTTCTTGGAAAGTTAAGATCAACATATTATGTCCCCAAATTGTTGGGAGTCCAGTGTAGCATATTTTTAAATGACTAAAACTGTTTATAAATGGGCAAAATAATTGACTTAAGGGCAGTTGATTCATGTCTGGATATGGATAACCTAAAATGATTTATAAATGGGCAAAATAAGCAATCTTAACCCAACTCCAGGTGAATGCCCAGCTGGGGAAGGCAGCTGAAGCCCCTCTCCCTCCATCCAAAACCAAACCCCTTCCTCCATGACCATACCCCCTTCATCACCTTCTTTTCCTTCCTGTCCCCCAGCCAAGCCCTGCCCAATCCCCCCCCCCCCCCGCGTGGCCCAGGGCCAGGGCTGCTGTGCCCCAGCCCCTCCCTGGCCACCAGGGAGCCGGGCAGCTGGGCAGTGTAGGCAATTTTGGGAAGGTAGTGCCTTCACTTACCTGTGCCCATGTCCAGGAAGTAAAAAGTTTTTAAATCTCTTGCTTAAAGCTGTTTTAAGCTGCTGTGTTAATACAGGGCAACTAACATATGAATATTAAATCAAAATTTAAAATGTTTAGTTTTGTCCTAAACTGTTGGGCTAGCAGGAGAAATTGTTAATGCCTTCAGTTACAATAGCATTTCAATATTTCGATCAAATCTGTGCATGAGTTTTAAATCTAACCCTTTGGGCAGTGCTTTAACTTCCTTGTTGATGTCTTCAGGATATCCTTGACCCCCCCCCCCCCCCCCCCCCCAGCACTTTTAGAGCGCCAGAGGAGAGAGAGAGACTGACTGACTCATACTCTTCTCCTGTAATAGTTTTACTAGAGGCCAGGGTGCACTTTTTTTAGGATTGTGTTGGACTAAATTCACTGCTGTCCTTTTTGTATTGATTCTTTGGCTTCATGAGCTGGTTTTGTTGACACCTTCAGCTCCTGAACACTCAGTCTTTTAAATGAATATGTAGCATGCTTCTAATTGCTTGGTTCTTCTATGGTAAGAATATTTCAGATAACCTTTGATGTTTGGGTTTTTTTAAAACTATTTCCAAGATACTACTTCAGTGTCATAGTGTTGAACAGGAATTGAAATTTTTTTTAAATTCAAAATCTCTTATTCGTAAAGATTTTTTTAAATGAATTTTCTGTGGTCAGCTGCGTTTGGCCCCAAAAAGATTCCCCACTCCTGGTCTACCGAAAGATATTACCTCTTCCGCCTTGCTTTCAAACTAGAAAAGTTACTAAATTCCTGTCCTTTTTCCCTGTCTTTGAAGAGGTGATTCTTGTTTGGTGTAGAGTTGCTGAAATACTGCATCAATATAAATTTCTACTCTAAAATGGTTTCTTAGCTCTGTAATTGAGTATGTATTGACCTTGCATTTCTGGTCTGTAACCATTTATTCATGTAACAACTGCATTAGGAATTTGAAACTAGATGATTGCCTTAGAGACACTGTTTGTTGAATACACATCTGAAAGAGGCTCGTGTACTCTAACCAGCTAAAGAATTAAGAATTTTTTATTCTTTGAGTGAAAATGTTTTATAAGTAACATTTTCTGTAAAATATTTCCCAGCCACATCCTTCAATTCATAAAGTATAAGCAAATTGCACAGTGTCAGGCTGTAGTTCAAGGGTCGTAAACATGGTATCTCCCTTGGCTTGTATCTGGTAACGTCTCAAGTATCCTAGTATAGCATAGTTGTAGCTACATCCTAAAATTCGATAAAAGTGCAACCAAGTTTGTAATGACCTAACATTGTAAGAATACATTATAATACAGTACTTAATACTCATTTTTGCATAAATATTGAGGTCTCTCCATTAAATCCTCCAGCTTGAAGATTGGAGTCAAAGCATTTTGTGTGGCATGGGAAAATACTGACAAACTAGAGATGCATGTGATATTTTATCAAATCTTTTATTTGTATGTTGCAGGAATTTTGAATTTCTTATTGTTTGTTAAAATTGAGACTAAGTGTAGCATAAGTATTTGGAACATTTTTACATTTAATTCCTTTAAACTCAAAGTTTGGGGAAGGCTTATTACTTGTTCTGTTTTTGGCTAATATTTGGAGAATATTTAACTTTTTGTAATATTTTTATCTTGGAACTAGGAAGTTGAATCAAATTCTCCTGCTGCACTAGCAGGTCTTAGACCACACAGTGACTATGTCATCGGAGCAGATACTGTCATGAATGAGGTATTATAATTTTGAGTTTCATTTACAAAGCAAAGTACCAGGGCAAGATTACATTACATTAACCTCAGCTTTCTCAGAATCCTATGCTAATAGAAGTTCTTTGTCTCTTAGTGGAAGGAGCTGTGGCACAGCAAGTCTATATTTCTGAGTACACAAATATAATTTTAGTGTTTAAAATGCCTTCATTATAATAACGGGATTGGTTTTATCTCTCTCTATATAAAAAAATTTCCTGTGGGACGACAAAATGATGTCATCACGTTATCTGTATCCACATGCCACTGCTTCTGCCTCCATCCATAGCCGCTTTCTGTGGCCAGTCTGTGCACCATACCCTTCAGACATGGGCAGTTCTGGCTCCCACTTCATGCCCCAGGAGGCTGCACCACCAGAGAGGAGCAGCTGGAGCCAGGTCCCCTCTGCCATCTGAGCCCAACACTCCACTTCCCCCTCCCAGGTTGTGGCCAGGTCCTCTCCCCACCACCCTCATCCGAGCCCTGCCGGGTCCTCTCTGCAATCTGAGCCTCCAATGTGTGCCTACTTATTCATTGGTATTTGTATCACTGGCATGCCCCACGGGGCTGTTTGCTGGCAGCACGATGCAGTCCCAATCTGTTCAGTCTGTCTTCACACACAACCTTTCTGGCTCTGTATTCATTTTCACTGCCTGGCTTGCAAATCTCTCCATGTCTGCTACATCTTTGGAGGTAGGGTGACCAAAAGTGAACACAGCCAGCAGTGCAGGTGAGGCCAAACTCTCAACTTATAGAATGGCATAAAAATGAAAGTTCTTCATTAATTATAGCAATCTAATGCAATCTAATGCATTAACTCAAGCAATCTAATGCAAAACAAATTAGCTAGATTTCAAAAAGTAGCAGTATGCGGTGCCTGAGCTATGGTGCAGGGAGCCATGCGAAAGCAAGTAAGTGTCCCCCATCCCCACAAGCTGAGACTCTGCATCCCCATCCCACCCACTCACCACCTCTGCCGATACTTCACACCCCCCAGCCACCTTACTCCTTCCGCTAAGACCCCAGGCCCACTCCTGCCCTCTTCCCCCAGCTAGACACTTGCACCCTGCCCTCTGGCCACACACCTACCCCCAGAAAGAGGGAGGGTTGGTGAGTGTAGTGAGCAGGGGATGCAGCCCCCTAGTAATTTTTTAAAATAATTTGAAAGATTTATTAGGAATTAAACATGATTTAAACTTTCAGATTTCAAATTAAAAAAAATCATCCCAAATATAGTAGTTTGAAAAACTGAGATGCCAATCTGAAAATGTAGATAAAATATTTTCTGTAGGGTGTAATGAAATTTGTTACATATACGAAGGCTCCTGTCTTTCAGTAAGTATCTTAGAGATGCCAGGCACTGCTGGTTCTGTATTGGAACTGATGAGATTCCAATTTCCATGTTTTTGGTTCTTAGAATTAAAAAAACTATTTTACAAAATTAACTGTTCAATGTTTGTCTTTTTTTCAGTCTGAAGATCTGTTCTCCCTCATTGAAACACATGAAGGAAAACCTTTAAAACTTTATGTATACAACACAGACACAGATAATTGTCGAGAGGTGATTATTACACCAAATTCTGCATGGGGTGGAGAAGGCAGGTAAGCTGATTTAACATATCAAATGGTGGTTTTGCAGCAGCACCTTGCCCATTCAGGAATAGGACCCCACTGTGCTTCAGGCTGTAGAAACAGGAGAAGATAATTCTTGATGCAGAGTATTAGCATTAATAAGAAACTGTACAGTGATAATTTACGTACAAATTAATTTGTAAGAGTGCCAATTTTTGTAGTTAAACTCAAATTAAGTGGAATAAAAGTTAATAAAACTTTATGGATGCTCAATGCATTAGACTTGAAATCTTAATACACACAGTATGCTAAACTAAAGCATGCAGTAGATACAACAGAAGACTGCAGTAAATGTTCCTGGGTTTTATTTTCAGCTGTCTCTGATTTACTCTGATTTTGGGCGTAACTAAGTTCTGTACTTTATTTCCCTATCTGTATATCTCTTAAACAGGATGTGATTGAGACTTAGCTATGTTTCTAATAATTGTTAAATCTTTACAACACCAGAAGTATTCAGTAGTGATACTAGTGGCTAAAAGGGGTTATAGAAGTTCAAAGTAATAAGTATAATCTGCTAGTGAGTGTGTTTCCACAGAAAAATGATAGTGTGTACTTGAGTACTTTTCAGTGTAACAATGGACACACAATGATTTACAAGGCTTTAGTTCTATTTTGAGATTCGTTGTGAAATCTTGACCCAGTTGAAGATATTGCGCTATGTTTTCTAATAGCTATTTGCTTGTGGTATATTGTACACTAATTCTCCAAAAGAAGTTATAGAAGCCTCATTAATCCAGTTTTAAGTGACAACTACTCAAAGGAAGCCCTTGGGGAAAAAAATACCGTAAGAGGAAGTAGTCCTTTAGTTGCAAAGAAACAGACTCATCTAATAAGTCTCTTCTGCGAGCGCCTATAGCTCTTTTATGGACACACTTCTGTCTTGCTGTAATTATTGTGTTTTTTGGGAATCCAAGAACTGAGTCCTTTCCATATTATAGAGCGGTGTTTCCCTTTTTTTTCTTTTTTTTCTTTTTTTTTTAATTTATTTATTTATTTAAATCACAGAACCCTTTTCAACTTGGAAAAATTTTAAGGAACCCCTACAGACAGGGAAAAAGTTTGTTGAGCAAAAAAAACACCCCACCACCCAAGCACATGGAAGGCCGCTAGATCCCTTGGTAAAAGCAGAGTGGTAGCAGGAGGCAGCGGGGGGAGAGGAATCTTGGGTTGATTGGGGAGAAGCGGGACCAGCAGCTGTTGCTGCTGCTAGGTCCCCTGGTAAAACCAGAGCAGCAACAGGGGACGGGGAGATGTCTGAAAGCCCAGCGGAGAGCTAGAGTCTTTGCCCGCTGGGCTCCTCTCTGTCTCCTTAAGGGCGGGGGAGCATTCAGGTTCTCTCGGAACCCTTACTTTCACTTCGCGGAACCCCAGGGTTCCGCAGAGCACCATTTGGGAAACACTGTTATAGAGAATTGTTCAGTGTAGGGTCCATGGTTGTCATGATTTTATGCATGTATCAAGATCAGACTGATCTGTCTCTGTCTCACCTTTATATGTTCATATTTTAAAAGCTTAGGATGTGGCATTGGCTATGGGTATTTGCATCGGATACCTACACGTCCATTTGAAGAAGGAAAGAAAATTTCTCTCCCTGGGCAATTGCATAGTGCACCCATCAGTCCACTGAAAGATGGATTTACAGAGGTAAGTTGTAATTTTTTCATAGCTTGATAAAATCATAACTGAAGAAACTAACTTTGTTGTTTTTCATTTTTCTGGATTTTAATGAAAACAAAACTGTTAACACTAACTTCTCATTTTTGTAAGGTTCAGCTGTCTTCAGTTATTCCCCCAA